TCTCCTCCCTCCCCCCTCCCTTGCTCCCTCCCTTCCGTCCGCCATGCCTTCCACTCTTTCTTCCTCCCTCCCCTCTTTGTTTTTCAGCAAGTGGCGACGTTGATCAATCTCTACGGTGGCCTTGATGACCAAAAAGTGGAAAAAAACCAAATAATTTTCCGGATGCTATTTTTTGCAAAGGAGAATATTATTGCTACTAGGAAGATGATGCGGTTATTGCATTCCGCACGGTTTCAAGTTTGAAGTTTGAAACCTCATCTCATTGTTTGACTGGTTGATGTGGATAACGTCATGCTAAGAGCAAGGTGCTGCTCAGCCTTGTTGCTGCTTTCTCAATTATATTGGTAGTATGCCATAACGTCTGCAAATGGAAGTGAAAAACAACATTTTGCAGTTTATCTGCATCAAAAAGCAAACAATGTCCACCTGAACGCCACGGGGTCGGAGAGACTGAGATGAAAGTCGCAACCATCAATCGTGTGGTATCACTGTTACAATCAAAACCTCTGATCAATGTTCTCGTAGGTAATTCAGATAAACCCAGAACCCTGAACCCTGAACCCTAAACCAAATAATTTCATTAGTCCCGGAAAGGTTATGCTTGGGTGATTGGTGTGGATGTGAGAACTGCGAGGCTTCTGCAAAGAGAAGTTCGACAATGGGAATTACATCCTCACTGTCTGCAGTATTGGTGCATATCCTGTGTAGAGTGCAGAGCAGAGTAGGCACTTTTATCCTTTCAAGATCAAAACTATTGAACTGTTTAATCATAATATGCTGGCCTTTTTTTTTTTTTTTGGTGGACAAAAAGCTCCGATCTATTCGTGGGGAGCAGCATGTGCTGGGAACTGCGCCCAGCATCCCAAATGAAATATACAACAAGATTGGTTGGAAAAAACTTGGAACACAAATGGACGAGTGGTACGGATGGGACAAACAGGCAAATGGTACAGAAGGACAATCTCTTTGGAAGGGATCTCAGAAAAGAAGTGGGCATGTATGAGAGCTGAGGGAGCGAGGGACAAGGGTGCATATGGAAATCTGTTTAAACAATTTCCCGGATAGGAAGTGTGAACGAGAGCGCACTGATGTGAGCACAGCTGTGTATTCCAGGATACAAAATTCTCAACACAGTGCGTCCAACCTGTTGGTTCACTTTCCATTAGTTGAACCAAAATCTGTTTGTTTCGTAGATTGTTGCCTAGAATCCCAAACCCAAGTTCCCTCGATCTTGCTGAGTTTAGAGCCAAAAGCTTCACCAATGTCAGTTTGCCCATGAGGGCTTCACAAACGAGCATTTGCCCGTAATATGAGTTACGGCCAGCAGCTGCAAAATTGCTCCCTCCCTCTCTCTCTCTCTCTCTCTCTCTCTCTCTCTCTCTCTCTCTCTCTCTCTCTC